GTCTCTCCGCGATATCCCCGTGGTAAAACCTCCTCGGCACCGTAGAGCACGACAGGTGGAGCAGGTGGATACAGGCCTCCGCTACAGCAGGTGTAAAGCAGGCCGCAGCCCGAACGCGGAGCCGCTCCGGCCTCTCCGTTACGTCCCCGGGGAAAGATCTCGCCAGCACAGCCGCACACGACAAGTGGAAGCAGGTCAAGCACAAACTGGACAGGTGGAAAAGGAGGCCCCAGCCCGAGCAACAACGTGCAGCCGCTCCGTCTCTCCGCGACTTCCCCGGGGCAAAAACCTCCCCACAGCAGCACAGCACAGGTAAACCTCCTTTCCACGCCGGCGGAAGAGAGGCAGCCCTGCCCCTCACGTTCCACGCTCCGTGAGGCGGATGAGAAAAAGCGCTCCGCTCGCTCTGATCGACTGCTCGCAATCTCATGCAAGATCAAGGGAGTCCTGCCTAAATCAGTCTCCCCCCGACTTGTGGTGCAGTAACTGTCTGATTGCACTAAGCTCCCCTTAGCCCTTCTCTTCCACCCCAAACTGTTTCATAAGCATGTCTACTGTCCAAGACTGATGTACGTCTCCGCTATCACGGTCTTCGCACTGCTTCACTTCATCCCCCACCTCAATGTCGGTGAACAGCGTGCCCACTTTCATGCCCCTCTTTAATGTTCGCGCTTCGTTGTTTACATTGATAACACGTACTGGCAGCAGGCCCTGTTCAACTTTACAAACCACTCGGGCTACCAATATGTCACAGTGTCGAGGGAGGGAGGTGGAGGGTTCCAGCATCCCTTCCGCATAATCCCCCCACCCGCTCTGGACCTGACCCCAAATGATGGCCTCGCCACGTGGGGGAACAATGGTATCAGACTGCACGGTAACTACTTGGGGCTTTAATGATGGGTTAAGATCAACCAGAGGAAATTGCTTGCCCATAATCTGGCAAGTCTTTTTCCCTAGATCAACCACAGCGCCATATTGCGATAAGAAATCAAACCCAAGCAGGATCTCTTCTGAGGGAATATCGGAGACTAAAAACTCTGCAACAAGCGCAAGGGAATCAAATTGACATACAGTCTGCCAGCACCCCACAATATGGGGTCAAAGGGATCTTTAACATGCATCAATTAGGGAGGCGTGTGGTGCAGTGGGTTGTGCGTTGGTGTTCATGTTCAAAACCCACTGCAGTCAGCATGTCATTGTGTCCCTGGGCAAGACACTTCACCCCAAATTGCTCCTGTGGGGCCGGCCCGCCCCTCCCTACAGGCAGATCACGCAGACTGCTAAAGTTTCAAATGTTCTCTTTAGTTCAGTTTCCATTGTCGCATAAGACTGATCCAGATAGCTCTGACCATGGCTGTCCTCTGTCTCCTGCTATCTGTATTTTGCGCAGTATATCTCTGAACGATGCGATGGTGATTCCACTGTGCAAATGGGCAACATTACCTCTACTATGAAGGATGCTACAAGCCTGTCCATCTCTGCTTTGGTTACCGGTCCTCCAAATTCTTGCGGCGGCGCACTCACAACATCCTCACTCTGGGTTCGGGGGTCCTTAGCTATTAGCTTCACCTTAGCATGTGTTCTTTGCAGGTGTTTGTTGAGGTTTGATGTGGTGTTTGCAGCAGTGGATAACAGCTTCTGGCCTGGACACAGTTTGCACCTCACCGTCACATTCCTGTCTATTCTTCGGACGAACTCAAAATAATGGGCATACCTCCACCCCTCGAAAGTTATCGCTGACTCAGCCATGTTTATGCAGCACTGCACGTGGAGATGTGGACGTGCAAGTCGCGCAGATTACGTACATATAAACCTGCGGCGGAAACCCCTCTTGTCTGTCAGTGTGATTATGACTGATTTTATAAAAGTAACGAAGTAACGCGTGTCGGGGCAATGTTAGTAACTGTAGTGTGATTACTGAATTATAAAAGTAACGCGTTACACTACTCCGTTACCGACAAAAGTAATATTATTACAGTAACGCGTTACTTTGTAAGGCGTTACACCCAACTCTGCTAACAAGTGACATGTAATGTAATCAATTGAATCCCAAATACAAAAAAAAAAATATGAAAAAATAAAATAAAACAATAAAATAAAACAATAAAATGTGTAAAGAAGTTACATGTGCGTTACTTCTTATAGTATGTTACAATGCTTTCTGTGAAGTTTGCCAATAACATTGGTGCTCCACTACTAGTCCTGGTTACAGTTATGATAGTATAATGTTAATATTTAAAATATCTCTTTAATGTAACTGTTTCTTTCGTCAACATGTGTAATTTTCTCCACATTATGTCTCAGAGTCCAGAGGGGCAGCACCTCAAGCATTGATACCATGCCGCCACACGCTCAGGTGATGAATAAGGAAGTCCATTTTACAACTACTTTATTTCAGAATTTTCATTTCTAATCTCTGGTTACAGTTAGTTTCCATGCATTATTATTTTCCTCAAATAATCCTGTTTGAAAGCCTACTTTTTTACATTCTTGGACAAGCAATACATACAAGTGAGATTTATGAAAACAGGATCACTTTTACATCTAAAAAAACCCATTAAGGTAAGGCGGTGAGGAGGTCTAACTTTTGAGTTTTGCTAAAATAAATCTTCCCCAAGACAGAGTTAAAGTGACCTGCAGGAGATCTGTGCTGTCGGGCGTCCTGTGACGTCTCATATTCTCATTGCTGTGCCTCATTCCAGATGTTAGATCTCAATCTTCATCCCTTGAGATCCAGCCTCTCGTTTTCTCTGTCTCTCCTCCTCTTTCTGTGTTTGTTTCATTCCCCTACATGTGAATTATGTGTCTCAGTCCTACCTTTTGTGTCTTTGTGTTCTCTTTCCAGCTTGTTATGGTGGCCCAGCTTCTGCAGACATCCTCTTAGATCAATGCTTAATATTACAATCAGTCTGTAAATATCATCTTCCTGATTGTTCGTATTATAAATGTACTATCTTGGTTTATTCTGTGCACAAGACATCTGTTGCATGTCTGTTTGTCCAGGGAGATGAATCCCTCCTTGGTTCTTCTTACTGAAGTTTCTTTCTATTCCCCCACAAGGGTTTTTTGGGGGGGGGGTATTTTCCTTATATGAATTGTGGGTCAAAGCCAAGAGATATAGCTTTTTATTCTTGCTCTATGTTGGGTCTTATTGTTAAAATACCTATCAAGTAGAGAGGAGGCATGGATGAGGAGCTTTAAAGCGAGAATGCACATGTGTAATTATTTTCGTCACTGGTGACATAGAAAGGGTGTGACTAAAACAAATACTTTCATGTAAACAGGGTCTAAGCCATGAAAAATAAGAAGCAATTGTGAAAAATCCTTTGTCTGATTGGACCATTTAACTTAAGCAAAATATGATCTTTACCCATTTTATTAAACATTAAATTATCGATATTGAATTTGTATAAAGAAAATTTTGAAGAACTTACCATAACAAGACAACCACGTTTTTTTTGTATTACATTTAAGGCGTATTATATGGCAATATTAGTGATATTTTATTAAGACAGGGTGAATCATTAACCTTAAACCCTTACAAGCTTTATGGACATCTTGTGAGGTGCGAAAATGAAGTTCAGTGTGATTGGTGAATCCAAAGTTGGGCCAATATTACTTAAAGTGCATGAAAGTGATCCAGTAGAATATGTAATAAGAGTATGTCCTCATTAAAAACTGATTATTCGAGTCCGTCAGGCGAAATTTATTTTATTTTGCTAAAGTAGGGCATAATCACTATGAAGTGAAAATGCTCTTATTGCTTAGGAATTTGGACAACGTAGTATATGTAAGTGTCCCAGTTGTTAGACAGGAGGGAAACAAAGTACTGCTGTGGAGGCATCAGCAAAACATGTTTTAGCCAACTAAGCAAAGCAAAAAAAATGCTACCGCTAGATTTAGAACATTTGCACTTCTTTATCTTGACAGCCTTTTCTGATGGGGACTCAAGCCGTTATAAGTTATAGACTTTGTCCTCACAAAGGCGTAAAAGGAAGCTGAAAAGCTCTGTAAAAGCATCTACTGTAGTCAAATAAAAACCCTGCAAACACCTCCATCTAAACTTTGGTGAATGATAGCAAAGTTTTATCCAGAGTAAGCTTTTTAGCCTGTTTTTGTTTCATAATTACACTAAGAAATGCAACATCAATACAGTTGTGGACATTCACATAGTATTTTACTCATGTACAATACTCTCTGTTTATGCTACGTTATACTTCCAATCCACTACATTTTGAAAGCCAATATTGTACATATATAACTACATTCATTTCACCGCTTTACTATTTAGATTTATATTAGTAGCTAATACAAAATACAAATGCCCAAGATGATCAGAGGTGGGAGAAGTACTCAGATATTGTACTTCAGTAAAAGTACATGTAGAAGTACCAGAGTGTAGGAATACTCTGTTACAAGTAAAAGTCCTGCATTCAAAATGTTACTCAAATAAAAGTACACAAGTATTAGCAACAAAATATTACTTACTTGGTATAAGTAGCGACAGTAAAAGTAGTCATTGCGCAGATTGGTCCATTTCAGAATAATATATATGATATGTTTTATAATGATTGATCATGAAAGTGTTCTCAAAGCTGGTAAAGGTGCAGCTAGTTTGAATGACTTTGTATACTGCAGGGTAGCTTGTGAATTTACTCCAGGTGGAACTAAAGTCTGATTTAAGACTTGATTATATTTCACATCATTCATCCAGATCTGTAAAGTAACTAAAGGTATTAAGTACATGTAGTGGTGTAAACGTATTTGATTTACCTCTTATTGTAGTGGGTAGAAGTACAAAGTAGCAAAAACATGTAAACACACAAGTAAATTACTATTATCTTAAAATGTTACCTAAGTACAGTAGCCTACTTGAGTAAATGTACTCAGTTACTTTACACCACTGCAGAAAGCCAACATTAGCAGGATGGCCCAGCCGCCCAGATGATGCACGCGCTGCTCATCGCGTTGCTCCTCCTCGAGCTTTCGATTGAAGATCGTAAAGGGACTTCAACCGGAAACCAAACTTTTTCTTCGAACTTTTTTTTCCTCTGAAGCAAAAGAGGAAAAAGGCACGAGAGTCATAAACGGCACGGTTCCTTATTTCCTTCATTTACGTATGCTGTTGGAGATGTGTCAGCTGCCGACCTACAGGGGAGAAGTAAAGCGTTTGTGGCGAGGATAAGGGCGACGTCGAGTGATTTTAGGCTGCTCCCCTCACATAACGGATTGTGGTCCTTTATCATGGAAGATGTGAGTATTCCCTTCACTCCCACCGTGTGGGCTGGCAGCCCTTTTACCGTCATTGCAACGCAGTTTTGTCGTGTTGAGATATTTAAGTGAGACTTCAGTAGGCATTAATGTGATGTTATAACACTGTAGAAAAACAACGTTACTGCAAGGGCGCGACCGACTTATTAAAGCAGCCAGGGCCCATAGAAAAGTTGTGTACTCGAACCGCTATTTTCTGGATATGTTCAAAGTACTTCTAAGAAACAGTTATGTTAAGATTTCATATCGATTCCAGTCTGTCTGCTGCCGAAAACTTAAGTCAACAGTATTTGGCACAAAGCACCTGCCCACCTGTCAATCTGTTTCCTCTACTTGTTGGTCAGAGCCCATAAGAAACACTACTGTAGAGCACCGAACTCCCTTTAAAAGTGTTACATTTAATTTTTTCGCTACATGTGGGTGTTAACATATAACTTTCAAAGCATAACATCAGACCTTGTCTGAGTCAGATTGCTCCTGCGGTGAATTCGGCATCATTACAATATCCATTTAGCACATGGTGTGAATTGCATTTCAAGATAACTGTTCATTTCGGCAGGGGAGGTTTTAGGGAATTACAAATGGTCAACAAATGAAATATAGCTGTTGGATTGTATCTTTGCCGAATTTGCTGTGAAAGCGGTATGTGTCAGAAAAAATGTTAACAAACGCTTAATAACGTGTCTTGTTTTCACAATAATAAAGTTACATTTTATTTTCCATATCTATGAACGAGGTTTGGCGGGCCGTTGTCAACAGGGTAAAATAACATCTTTAACTTTCCTCACTAGGCAGACCTTTGTTACTAGATTGATTTGTAGTATCTAATTATATTCATTTATTAATTTAATCCTCAAACTGAATTAATCAACTACATACTGTTTACTACCTCAATGCAAATGTGGCATTTTGAGGAAGCAAAGCTTGTTAGAAAAAGGAAGTCAAGTATATCACCTACTGTAAGCAAGGAACTTGCAAACAAGCATGCGTACACCGCCCTTTCCAGTGTAGCATTGCTCAAAAACGGCCTTCCCTTCTCCATCTAGAATCTGATAATTAAATGCAGCTTTTTCTTGAACTTTCCTTTTTTTCCTAGAATCACTCTCCAGTTCAGACTATTACGTCTATAAACCATGAAACAGCCTCAACCCACATTTAGACATGTGAAAAAATACCTTCCCCCTTATTCTCACATGCATCTTGCACTATACACTGTGTGTTGGCATGTAGTGAATACAGTGAGACTATTACAACTGTGACTTCATCAAAGTTAAATGTTGAAGTCAAACGAAGTAGTGCTTTAGCTACAAATAGAGCATGTTTAAACAAGGGAAACAAAGTACTGCTGTGGAGGCATCAGCAAAACATGTTTTAGCCAACTAAGCAAAGCAAAAAAAATGCTAACGCTAGATTTAGAACATTTGCATTTCTTTATCTTGACAGCCTTTTCTGATGGGGACTCAAGCCGTTATAACCATCTCTGCTCTCCCTAAAGCCAACACACTCCATTTAAAATGTATGATTTTAACCCGAGAACACTGGAGTTGCAAACTAACTATCCAATCAGTGTGTTGCCTTTGGCCGGAGCATAGATAATTGCTTAATTTTCCGATAAGAAACATAGACTGTATAGCTGTCCGGCAGCAAAATAAAGTGGTAAAATATTTGAAATATAATGTAAACTGTTGCTGCTGCAGTACAATGCTTACTTTCTCTTCAGTAACTCCTTTCTGTTTTCCAAACTGGGGTTATACCGAACACCACCTACTGTAGATAATACACTTACTATGGATAAGTATCTCAACCACTCTTCAAAACATTAAAAAATATTCCTTTAAATTGCCTACAGTAAATAAGTGTGGGCTTGCTGACATTTTTTTAATTCAATAGATTACTGGAGTAAGACGCCAGTACGGCAAGAAAAACGTTGTACCGTTGTAATACTACAAAAATGTGTTTAGGAGCTGTAGTGTATAGTTTTGTATATACTAAAGCTGAACTAAAACTAGTGCTCGGTGTTTACGACTCACACTCACAACACCCACCACTTGGCTGGCTGCCCATTGACAGCTGTGTGGCTCTCATCTGTTCCTTTATATTTTGTTCCTCTTCGCTCTACTTCACATTCTGCCTTATCTTATTCATCTTTCACCCCAAAAACCGCTGCTGTCCTTGCATGTCTCAGCGCTGTGACTCATCCTTTTATCGCCTTCCCACTGACCTAGAGTGCAGAGTGTGACGTGTCTGCCTGACCCATTCAGAAAAGAGGAAACAGACTGCCACATTATGTGTCAGGCACAAAACAATTAACCCTCTCTCATCATCGTCCTGCCATCCAGGCCTCTGCCACACAATGGATGTGTGTGTGCATGATCTTACTGGGGCACCGCGGACAATTTCTGGGAAAGGGCCTTTTTTGAAAAAGAGTATAATGAATGCATGTGTATGTTCTTGAAATGTTGTGACAGAAAGTCCTCAAACGATGGAAAAATGCTCTTTTGGAAGGCATTTCGCTCGTTGGTACTAACTGAAAAGGGGGTTGAAGAAGAAGAAGATATACTTTATTAATCCCTTACAGGGACATTTCTTTCCCCACTCTGTTGTGTTTACACACATTACACACACAGGGGAAGATATACATGCACAAACACAGAGGATATACATGCACACACGCACAACCACATGCAGATAGGCAGGGCCGGCCCGTAGCACTGGCGTTATAGATGTTTGCCGAGGGCGCCAGATCTGGGGAGGCGCTGCGCTGGTAGCTCTGGGAGGGGAAAAAACATTTTTGACCGTTGGTGCTCATCCTAATTTTCGGCCTTGATGTAACAATATTCATAATTAAGTAAATGTAACACCCTTTTCACTCCGGTTACACTTTTCATTTGCCCTGTACGATGGGCGCTGTAAGTGATGAAATCAGCTTATCAGGCGCCCGCAGCTCACAGCCAAAGTGCGAGTGAGCGTGGGAGTGAGCGAGGGAGAGAGGGAGGTAGTGATGTGTCGGTCGCGAACGAGCCGGCTCAAAGAGCCGGCTCTTTTAAGTGAACGACGGGAGCCGGCTCGCGCCCGCGAACGAGCCATGTTTTTGTTTTTGTTATTTTTTGTTAAGTAATACAAGACAGAATGATATGATGATCTCCGCGCTACAGCTGCTCCGTGCATGCATGCAGTGGCATGTAAAATCCAAGGATTAGAGACTGTTGGATGCTGCTGTTTTGAGCATTGCAATACATTTATTTGTATTATGTTATTTATTTATGATTATCCTTGGGCTCAGCAAAGATTTGATGTCAGCTGTTGCTGTCTTTTTTCCTATAGTTAATACTGAAATAGAGCCCTGCTGTTTTGTCAGGGCCTTTTCTTTAAATATAATTGTAAAATGTCGATACAGTAGCCCCTTTTTTTAAATGTCTATGCTTAAGTTTTTATAGGTGTTGCTATCTGCTTTGTGTAGCGTGGTTCTACAAGCAAGTCTGTGCATTCATTGGGTGGTATCAGAGAGATACAAGGGTCTGTAAATGCAATGAAAACAATTGGCCACAGCAAATAATTGATATTAAACATGTCATTTTTACTTTTGAATACTTCAGTACAAAGGATGTATTGAATAATTTAAGTGATATGTGTACACATATAAATCATTAGTCAAAACAGGGCTACATTTGATTGAATTATAAAAGGTATAATATGTGGTAAACTGAAGAGCCGTTTGGGAGCCGAAAGAGCCGGCTCTTCTTGGTGAGCCGAGCTAAATGATCCGGCTCACCAAGAAGAGCCGGAATTCCCATCACTAGAGGGAGGGCGCCCCGGTACCGGCGCTGTTGTTATTAGAATCTGGTGCTAGCTGCTCTAACGGATATAAGAAGAAGATCTTTCTACAATAATGTGGAGGGAGAGTCCTCTCCAGTCAGACTGAGAGGCTGATAACTACAGCTCAGTGAGGTAAAGGACTCTCTCAGTGTTTAGATAGTTCACTTTAGTCTAAGTTATCTCAGTGGGTCTCAAAAGTTTTGATCACAATTTATGTAAACACATATTTCCAAGGCACACCTTTATAATTATTGGGATAAACAGGTTTGAAATCATTTCAATGTATACTATAGGACAGTAAACCAAAAATATTATGCATGAATAAATAAATGTTAACTTGGTAAAATAAGATATGAATGAACAACAAAAATAAAATAAGTTACATTTATGTGTTATTGGCTATGGTAGGTTATTGGTTATGTTCACATACTTATTTGGTTTTTAAAATGTAAACTGATCTTTTTCATATGGGTGTTTTAGAGTTGTACCCCCTAGATCTAGTAGTAATTCTGCTCAAAGTGCACCAGATTGAAACATTTTACTTTAAAATGTTCAAACATTTCTTCGCGGGGGGGGCATACCCCCGGACCCCCCTAGAGGATGTGACGTCCATCCCCTATTCTATTTTGTATTCCTTGGATACTCTATTGATCTTTATCTTTCTATTGTATGATTCTCTGGCTCCTCTCTCAATTCCAAATATTTCATAATTCACTGCTGAACTTTCGATGCGCAACCAATGAGGAGACAGCTATATGTAGCGGAGCAAGCTAGCAGGGAACGTTACCTTGGAAACTTAAAGGGGACCTATCATGCAAAATGCACTTTTGTACGTCTTTTATACATGAATATGTGTCCCCGGTGTTCCAGGGAACTCACCAAGTGTCAGAAAACACAACCCTCTCTCTTTTCCTCCATACCCAAATCTCTAAAAAAGGGGCTGCAACGGATCTGATAAAAACTGATCCAGATTTGAACATTCCTCTGACGTCAGGACGGCGGAGCTGACCTATCAGGGGAATGAGAGCTTGCCGTGGCATGGTAACAGTATGGTAACACAACGCTCGTAACTCGGCCCCCTCCTTTGCAGGGGGGCGTGGTCAGCTGCAGCGCATGCAAAGACAGGGTGGAGGAGAGCAAAATAGAGCGAAATGAGGCATGGCTAA